AAGTTTCCCTGGAGTCAGACCAGGAGAGGGCACATTATGGGTGCAACTAACTATTTACCAGGTCTCCCACCTTAAAGGACATTTTATAATTGTAGTTAATGGAAAGAGGCTGTTTCGAAAAGAACCAAAGCATAAAGAAGAGGGCTTTAGTAAAATCACATCGTTTCCCTCGGTACATCCTTGGGGATTGAAAAGTTTCTAAAGATGACATTATCTAAGCTATAATGTGAAGAAATACACTGTATTATTTTGCATGGAACTTAGAAATACAGAAGCATGACTAAAAAGTTTTCAGTTTTTATGCAGTAGGACCCAGGGAGAGACATACTGTCAGACATCAAATTGCTATCAGTAGAAAGACAGAATCAGAGATGCCAGGCTCTTCTATAGCAGGTGATGTAATTCTCAAAACCATCCAACTCTCTCTGATCAGTTGTTCTGATGACTAATTTGACTTCCCAGATATCTTGATACTAGAAAGGAAGGTATCCTAGATAGTAGATAAATTCACTAAATGAATTCACCAAAATGGTACATTCCTTTGTCAAATTCAAAAACTGGCATCATGGCTTATACTATTTTGTGTGGGTGTGTGAATCTGGTTAGCAAAAGTCATTTCTTGGTTGTCTGATCAGCTCTAGGTATACTTATAAAATAGAGTTTCTGGATCTAGGAGTGCAGAATTAGACTCTACACTTTGGTAACCAGCCCAAGCTACTGCCAGCAAGCTTTTCTTGGAGACATGTATTTCATTCTAAGTTTAAAACAAGCTGCTCTCTATTTTGTTAAAAAGTCTGTATTGTATTGAGTTGATCTTTTTTCCATAGAATATTTGAACACTAATACCCATTAAATAATAATTCCCCATTACTCCCTCCCCCCAGCCCCTGGTAACCACCATTCTACTTTCTGTTTCTATTAATTTGACTGTTCTAGATATTTCATGGAAGTGGAATCACACAAGGTTTGTCTTTTTGTGTCTAATAACTTAGATAATATCTTCAAGGTTCATCCACATTGTAGCATGCGTTTCATTCCTTTTTTTTTTTTATGGCTGAACAGTATTCCACTGAATGGACACACATATTCTTTATCCATTCTTCTGTTGATGGACATTTGGGTTATTTCCACCTTTCACTACTGTGAAGAATGCTGCTATGAACACTGCGGTACAGTCAATTATCTTTTAAAGAGATTTAAACGATAATAAAAGTTGTAGGTATTTACCCATGTAGCTACCATTTCCCTTGCTCTTCATTCTTTGGGGTATGTCCGCATTTCCTTCTGCCTGAAGGACTCCCTTCAACATTTCCCATGAGTGCATATCTTCAGACATGCCTAAAAAAGTCTTTATTTCACTTTGGTTTTTGGAAGCTACCCTTTGCTAGATACAGAATTCTAGGTTGACAGGTTTGTTTTTCTTTTCTTTCTATAAAAAAATTTTAAAGTTGGTGCTCCACTGTCTTCTCACTTGCATCGTTTCTGACAAAAATTCTGATGCATCCTCATCTTTTTCCTCGGTCTCTTTTCTCTTTATCACTGGTTTTAAGCAGTTTTGTCATGGTGTGCCTTGGTATAGTTTTCTTCATGTTTTTTTGTGTTTGATGTCTGTTGATGAGTTTATAGTTTTCATCAAATGTGAAAAAATTTCAGCCATTATTTTTTCAAATATTAAAAAATTTTCCCTCCTCTTCTCTCTTACAGAGACTCCACATGCACTTATATTAGGCCACCTGAAGTTGGCTCATGGCATCCTAATATTCTGTTCTTTCGGGGAAGCATCTCTCCCCGCCCCCCAACCCTGTGTATTTCATTCTGCCGTGGAAGCATGGAGTCTTAACCACTGGGCCACCAGGGAAGTCCATGTATTTCATTCTGGGTAGTTTTATTGCTATATCTTCAAGTTTACTCTTCTTCTGCATATGTCTAAACTGTTAACTCCATCAAGTGTATTTTTTTTAAACCTCAGACACTATATTTTTCATTTCTATTCATAAAATATCCATATTTTATTAAAACAATTGTTTTAATGACCTTGGCTGTTAATTCTATAATCTGTGTCAGTTCTGGATCAGTTTGATTGATTTTTCTTCTCATTTTAGGTTATAGTTTCCTGTTTTTGTATGCCTGGTAATATTTTTTTTTAATTAATTCATTTATTTATTTATATTTTTGGCTGTGTTGGGTCTTTGTTTCTGTGCGAGGGCTTTCTCTAGTTGCGGCGAGCGGGGGCCACTCTTCATCGCCGTGCACGGGCCTCTCACTGTCGTGGCCTCTCTTGTTGCGGAGCACAGGCTCCAGACACACAGGCTCAGTAGTTGTGGCTCACGGGCCCAGTCGCTCCGTGGCATGTGGGATATTCCCGGACCAGGGGCTCGAACCCGTGTCCCCTGCATTGACAGGCAGATTCTCAACCACTGCGCCACCAGGGAAGCCCTGCCTGGTAATTTTTGATTGGACGCCATGCACTCTAATTTCATCTTCTGAGTGCTGGATATTTTGTATTCCTATAAATATTTGAGGGCTTTGTTCTGGGACACTGTTAGATTACTTGGAAACAGTTTGGTTCTTCTGGTGATTTGCTGGGTGGGATTAGGGCAGTGTTTAGTCAGGGCTAATTATACCCCACCACTGAGGCCAAGATTCTTGTCGGGATTCTACCCAATGTCCCACGAATCACGAGGTTTTTCCAATCTGGCTGTGGGGACCGGCACTGCTTGCAAGCCTGTGTGAGCACTGGGCATTGTTACCTCTGATTCTCCGGGTGGTTCTTTCCCAAGCCTTGGGTGGTTTCCTCACATGCATGTGCTGAGCTACTCAGCTCAATACCTGAAGTGGACCCTCTGGAGATCTCTGGAGTTCTCTCTGTGCACTCTCTCTGCTCTGGTACTCTGTGCTACGAACTCCAGCTATCTTAGCATCTCCCAGCTCGCAGCTCTGTCTTTCCAGTTAGGGAGCCTACCGAGCTCTGCTTTGGCTGCCCCCCTGCTCATGCCACAGACCAGAACTCTCTCCAGGAAGTAAACTGGCTAATGGTAGGGCTCACTTCATTTGTTTCTCATCCTTCGGGGATCACTGTCTTTCCTTGCTGGATGTGCACTGTATTTTTTTTTTTTTAATTGAAGTACAGCTCATTTACACTGTTGTGTTAATTTCTGCTGTACAGCAAAGTGACTCAGTTATACACGTATAAACATTCTTTTTTTATATTCTTTTCCGTTGTGGTTTTGTTCCAGGATATTGAATATAGTTCCCTGTGCTATAGAGTAGGACCTTGTTGTTTATCCATTCTATATGTAATAGTTTGCATCTGCTAACCTCAAACTCCCAGTCCAACCCTCCCGCATGTGCACTGTCCTGAAAACCAGTTTCACATATTTTGTCCTTTTGCTTTTTTAACCTTTATCCTTTCATTCATTTTAGTAGATACACTGTATTCTATTGTGTTCATACATGATTATTTATTAATCCAATCACATACGGATGCATACTTATGTTTTTTCACCCAGTTTTTTGACTGCTACAATGTATGAAACTATTCATATACCTATCTTTGGATATATGTATAAATAATTTCAGGATAAATCCTGAGTTATGGAACTCCTAGATAAAGTGATCTGTGTATTTCATTTTATTTATTTTTAAAAATTTATTTATTTATTTATTTTTGGCTGCACTGGGTCTTCATTGCTGCACACGGGCTTTCTCTAGCTGCGGCAAGCAGGGGCTACTCTTCGTTGTGGTATGCGGGATTCTCATTGTGGTGGCTTCTCTTGCTGCGGACCTCGGGCTCTAGGCGTGCAGGCTTCAGTAGTTGTGGCTCACAGGCTTAGCTGCTCCGTGGCATGTGGGATATTCCCGGACCAGGGCTCGAACCCGTGTCCCCTGCATTGGCAGGTGGATTCTTAACCACTGTGCCACCAGGGAAGTCCTGGTCTGTGTATTTGAAATTTTGATAAGTACTGCCAAATTGTCCATTCAAAAGGACTGTATCTTATACTCCTACCAATAGCATTTCCCTAAACCCCTGAGAATATTGGTTGTTATCAACACTTTAAAGTTTGCTAAATTTATAGTTGAAAAATAATATTTCACTATTTTGAACTGAATAATACTGCAATTATGCACTTTTTGAAGATGTGATACGAAACAGCTCTAAAATCACCTAAATCTGGACCTTTGTTATAAGTAATTCTTTGATAATTTTCTTAATTCCTCCTTTGGAATATTGGCATATTTATGTCAATATCATTTCTGGGGTCAATCTAGGCAATATTTTTCTTAAATTCACCCATTTCATTGGTATTTTAAAATTTATTTGCATAATTTTTCAAAATGCTCTTTTACAATCATCTCAATTTTCCCTCTCTTTTTTGAAAACCAGTGTTTTAAGGTTTTAAACACCAACTATATCCCTTTCCTTCCACTTCCCGGCTTCCATATTTCCACTTGCTCAACTGCTCTCATCCCCAGGTAAAAAACAGTCCTCATGTGTCCTGCTTCAGATAAGCAAATATAGTCATAGCACATAATTCCCCTCCACCCCACTTCCAAGTCCCACTATGTCCTTCTCCCTTTTCCAAATTACGTTTTCTCCCCGTTCCCTGTTTTTTTTAAAAAAAAAACACAATAAAACACGTATAAAAAGTACTGAATGACCGTTAAATACAAGCCAGACCAGTGTGCTATAGACAAAGTGCTATGAAAGACACATGCAGTAAAATACAAATCCCTGACCTCAGGGAGATTCCCCTTCTCCTGTCTTAAAAAGAAATGGCTACCAAAAATATTCACTTCCCTAATTAGTCTTTATAGCCTAACCCCAAACTTGTAGTCACTTAGCCATTCCATCAATGCCTCACCATATATACAGGTAGAGCTCACTGATGGTGCAGCCAGTTATGTACCTATTGTTCTGTTTTACTGTGGTCATAGCTAAGTCAGTTTCGCCTGAAATCAGTCTTTTCTTTCCAAGGAGGTCTCTTTCAAGCTTGCCTTACCTTACGGACATGACAGGAAAAGAGGACGTTCATGTATTTGTCCTTCCGTTTCAGTTCATTCGCAACGGGGACGAAGGTGCCTGAGGTCTGAGGTGTATCTGGCTTCTGAAAGAAAAAGGAAACACGATAAAATGAGTATGCTTAACATTTTATTTTATTTTATTTTAATTAATTAATTAATTAATTTTGGGCCGCACTGAGTCTTTGTTGCTGCGCACGGGCTTTTCTCTAGTTGCGGCGAGCAGGGGCTACTCTTGGTAGCAGTGCGCAGGCTTCTCACTGCAGTGGCTTCTCTTGTTGTGGAGCGTGGGCTCTAGGCACGTGGGCTTCAGTAGTTGTGGCACACGGGCTCAGTAGCTGTGGCTCGTGGGCTCTAGAGCGCAGGTTCAGTAGTTGTGGCGCACAGGCTTAGTTGCTCTGCGGCATGTGGGATCTTCCCAGGCCAGGGATTGAACCCGTGTCCCCTGCATTGGCAGGCGGATTCTTAACCACTGTGCCACCAGGGAAGCCCTGCTTAACATTTTAGATGAGAAGGCAGTCTTTTACTGCTTTATAACTCTACTCACATAACTTCACACATGTACTTTTTACCTCCCCATCCCAGATGATAAGCTACTAAAGGGTTATTATAACACCAACGGTCCTAGAATATTTTAAAAATAAGGAATGGGAGAGAGGGTGAATTCCCAGCTTTGGGAATAACTGATACAAAGGTGGTAATTAAAAATAGTTGCTGAATTATGCAAGGGAACGTTTAAATGATCGAAGCCAGATTATTGAATGTACCTAATTCATATGGGTACAAGGCAGAGAACTCTTTAAAGTGAGGGAAACATCGAATATCGTACACTGAGAAGCAATAAAATCTTTTAGTTTAGTATCTCTCATAGAAATTTAGTTTCTGAAGGTGTCTTAGTCTTTCTACAAATACTTGGAGAAAAATTCTTCTCTTTCTTTGTTAAGGGAGCAGCAGTGGATCCCACTCTGTCCTCCTGGACTTACCGAAGCAAGATAGTTGCCCTCCCAGGCCCTCTGGAGCCCAAGGTCAGCCCTTTGACCCTTCAACATTTCTACAGCCGCAACCTTTGCCCTAACCTGGGGCAGGTCTGAAGCAGGTATGGTCTTGATGAGCTGGGATGCTCTCCATCTATAAGTAAACAAGCAAAATGTATGAGACTTTAGAAATAACATCCCATTCATTCTCAAAAATAACTGAAGCAGCCATTAAGTAGAATTAAATTACTTGCGTCCTACCCTAAAAAAAGTAAAATGCCTCTAAAATATACATAGAACATGTTAAAATACACATAGCTGTATGTGGACAGAGTTTTTTGTAGAGCTTCCTCTGCTGTTTGCGTGTTTTGGAAGCAACCGGAATTTAGTGATACGTGGACTCTCTCATATCTATAGTTAGGGTGTAGGAACTTTGGATTCATCATTCATTCATTCAGCAAATGTTTTCTAGGCACGTACTAAACTCCAGATGCCGTTCTAGGGAGTGGAAGCACAGCAGTAAACAAACAGATGAAGGTCCTTTCTGCTAGGTGCTGATATTCTAGAGAGCAGAGACAGACAAGATATAAACCCATGCTTAAACACACAGTATGGATGATGTGATTAGTGCTATGGAAGAAAATAAGGCAAGGAAAGGAGGACAGGAATGCAGCAGAGGGAAGGACCAGGGGGCAGGTGTTAGTCACAGTGGGTGGTCTGGGAGGCACCGCTGATAAGGATATGTGAGCAGGAAGTGGAGGTGCCAGCTGTACGGATACTTGTTCCAGGAAGAGAAAACAGTGCGTGCAAAGGCTCTAAAGTGTGAGCTTGTTTGGTGTGTGAGAGGACAAGCAAGGAGTCCTGGCAGCTGGAGCAGGGGCCTGGGGGAGGGGAACAGGAGGGGGTGTCAGAGGGAGAGCCGGGGCCAGGATCCACAGGTGCCCGGTCAGCCTGTCCCCTCTTCACTGCCCACAGGGGCCCAGGACAGGGTCCACAGCTGACCGACTCCAGAGACCCATGGCAAACAGCTGTGCCGGGGAACCCGGAGCCGAGCCACCCAACCTGGGGGTGGTGCAACACACACTTCCTCGTCCTGATCGAGCAACCTGCCGTCTTTAAACACGTGTAGATGTCAGCAGCTGCCGCCGGACAAGTGAGCAGCCTCGGCCACGCGAAGAAGAAGCTGGGCGTGAGGGAGGCTCCCAGCCTTCCCAGGATGAAAAAGAATTACTAGGAGGCGTGGGAGCGAGCTGAAGCACGATTAGACACACACTGTGGAGGCGGCAGAAGAAAGCAAGACCCCACAATCACAGCAAAATCCTTTCACACACTTCTCTCAGGATTCTACAGATCAAAAACGCAAGAATAAATGAAATGTGATACAGGGACTAGACCAGGGGTTGGTAAACTACAGCCTGTGCCAAACGCGGCCCATAGAGCTAAGAATAGTTTTTACGTGTTTAACCAAACAAAATAAAATATGTGACGAGGACCATATGGGGCCCACAAAGCCTAAAATATTTACTATCTGGCCCTTTACAGAAAAAGTGTGCCTTTGAACTAGATTAACACAGCTGGCAAGATTCATTCAATGTGTGTGTGTGTGTACAGTCAAGACACAGAGCAGATGTATTATGTTCAAAATGCTCATTGACTATAAGCCCTAAGAAGGCTGGGACAGTATTTCACATCTTTCTTGTTTGTCACTGCATCCCTAGAACCTAAGTCAGTGTCTGTGACACAGCAGGTGTTGGGTAAATACTTGCTGAATGAATAAACTGAGTTTTACAAAAAATAATCAATTCTAGGCCATACAGAAAACCTCCAAGTCTAAAAAAGAAGACTATACAGGCTACAGTGCGACATCATCAAAATCAATAATTCTTTGCAGCCATTAAAGATATGACATAGATCTTTATTTATTGTGATGGACAGGTCTCCAAGACTTATTTTTAAGTAAAGTCATATAACCATACATAGAGTCCTCCTTGTGGAAAAAAGAGAGGGGAAAAAAACCCAAATGCATACACACTCACAGTATAAGCACACATTTCCATAGTACTTATTATGTGTCAGGCACTACCTGAAATGCTTTATACATATTTACTCATAATACTTTCAACAACCCTATGAGCAGGTGCTATGATTATGGCCCTTTTACAGATAAGAAAACTGAGGCACAGAGAGGTTAACTCGTTTGCCCAAGGTTACACAGCTAGTCAGTGGCAGAGCTAGAATATGAACCCAGGCTCCAGGGTGTGTGTTCTTAACCACTGTATCATGCTTCTCTTGCGTGTGTATGTGTTTGTAAGTGCGTAGACAAAGATTTAGAAGGATACAAACTAATTGTTAATGAGTGGTTATCTTAGGGGAAAGAAATAAAATGGGGAGAGACAAGAGGAGGTGTGGAGGATTTCAACTTTATATCCTGTAAATTTTTATATTATGTCACTTTATTTACTTAAAAAAAATTTTTTTGGCTGCATCGCGTAGCATGTGGGATCTTAGTTCCCCGACCAGGACCGAACCCATGACACTGCAGTGGGAGCACAGAGTCTTGACCACTGGACCTCCGGGGAAGTCCCTATGTCACTTCAAAAAAAACGAGCATATATTCACGTATCATTTAATCACTTTTTAGATTATGTCAAAAATGCAGGTGACAGATGACATAATTCATGAAAAAAAATTTATCTGTGCAGTAAAAAGGCTGCCAAGATTTACAGCTAACATTTATAGTATTGCATGGGAGAACGGAGGGCTGGGGTGCTTTTGCTTTCAATAATGCTCTACTGTTTTATTTTTTTCTTTTTATGAGCAATCATTTTTTTTTTAAAAGCAAATGAGATATGTACTAAAGAGTTTTCCTTGCATGCGTTTTCTTTCTTTTTGATATCTGCCATTCAATACATTGATTTACATTCAATACATCAATTACATCAATACGTTAATTAGTTCATGGTGTTCTGGGCGGAATACCATAATGCCAAACGACCACATTTGAGAACCATCAGCCTAGTTTATGCGACTAGATGGCTGTACCTGAGACATAGCTAAACATATCTGGTGCACGCTGTCAACAAACAAGCTCAAAAAACGAGGAGAAAGGAGCTATGAATAACTACAAAGTCAGATGCAGGGCAGTTTATTAAGAAAATGAAGATTAGCTGGAAATGTATCAAATGTTGCATGGGCATTAATTAACTTACTTATTTGTTTAAAAAAATAGCTTGCTCTATAACAGTGTTTTCTGCCTTTTACTTTAAAATCACCTGGAAAACTTTAAAAAGGACCTCCGCTTGGGCTCCGCTCCCCAGCACCATTAAACAGGACTTTCTGGAGGTGGGACTTGGGCATCAGTGTGTTTTATAAACTCCTTGTGAATGTCAGGTGCGGGATAGAGAACCCCTGCTCTGAAAGGATGAACAGACATCCTAGTGTGAGTGATGTGTGGTGATTTTAATAGAGTTATCTTTTTGCTAGTAAAAGAAAGTAGAGACATCATGCTACTAGCTTATCTTAAACTTGGCTGGATTCAGGCCTTGTGGCATGCTGCTGTCTACTGCTAATGGAAAAATAAACGGACCGTTCTATTATTTGGAGGGGTAGGCAAATGCCCTTCGAAAGTGAAATCTACGAAGGTGGAGACACAAGGTAAAAGCAACGTCACGGTCTCAGATCTGTAAATTTATATAGTACGTGTACTGCCACAAACGGATGCAGCACATACCAAGTCCTTACCTATTAAAAATAGCCTGTAGGGCTGCCTCGAAACGGCAAAGCACTCTGGGCGGGGCTGGCCACTTCACGTGCTTGCCGTGGTCCCGCATGGTCTTGATGCCGTGGAAGCGTCTGGCCACCTCGTGGATGTACGACTTCACTTTGTAGCGCCGGTAGTATCTGATAATTGTCAGAGCCGCCTTGGTCCTCTTGTACCGCATACGGGCCAGGGTGCCCCGCCACACCTTCGCAATAGAGGAAAAAAAAAAGGAAAATGTTGCTGGTTGGCTGAGTAGCAGATCACATTGAAATCACAGAAGCTCCTTTACTTAGAAGCTCAACCTGGCAATTTGTATGCGTCACAAAATCAGCCAGAGCATGTCAGTTCTGCCTGCCACCAACAGATGGCACTAGGAGTCACGTCCGTCATTTTGATTCAGTGTCTAGCTGTTCGTTACCTCCTAAGGAGGCGTGCGCGGAGTCTGAAGCAGAGCCCTGTTCTAACTTTACGGTCGTGTAAAGAAGAAAGCCAAAATACCATTATCTTTGGATAAATATTTTAAGAATGTTGAAAGGAAGCAAGATGAGTCAGAACACAAAGCCCTCAGCATCCATAGTTCTCTTATGAAACCTAGCTTTGCATAGATTATACACATTGGCCACTAGTGTAATGTCGCATTGGATGTATGAACTGATTTATATACAGTCTGTGCAGCCCCCCCTCCCCAGGTAAAGTCCCAAGAATTTAGACGTATTCGTGGAGAAAGGGTAAAAAACAAGTTACTAATATGAATCTGTTAAATTTTTTCAGTGATCAGAAATCAATCAGACATTATGTAAACGTCTCAGCGCCTGCTTTATCCAAACACGGTGAACTCACAGATACTTATATTTTTTTCAGGACCCCATACTTCTCAATCTCTCAAGTAAAAAGAAATTTGGTGTGATCTTCATTATTGGCTCTTCCCCTAAATATGCTTTCTACCACCAAACGTCTTCTTTCTTCCACGGTATTTCCAGTATAAATCCCTTTCTTTCCCTTTCTGCTACTACAGTCCCAAGACCCCAAACGTCCTCATTGTTTTCTTGGATAAACTCCTCGTACACATCGCCATCACGCTCCAGGTGATACTCACTGCTGCTACTTAACTGACTGTCTCAGTTCTTAGGTGGAGGGTACTACTTCCCTCCCTGTCTCTGGCCTCTCAGGACCAAGATATTCAACCTCCAGTTCAAAGCCCACAGTATGGGTTCTCCAGGATCACTCAGGGTTCTTTTATTTCTTCTTAGATCCCCATCTGTGTCCACCACTTTCTCTCAGAAAAACTGGTACGATACCTCTTTTATTCAGCCATTTTAGGTTGGTCTTCATGAAGGCTCCTAAACAGGTACCAAGTGCTTGCAAAGCCCTCCCTTTCCAGCCTGCTGTACAAATATGAGGAGGCCATCCACGGACCCCAAAGAGGAACTAATGGGTCAAGAAAAACCATGATATGTGAGGGAAACGCGACATAGGAGCAAGTTCTGATGAACCTGGAGCTCACGTATAAACAGAATATATAAAGACAAAGAGGCAGTGAAAAGTCACTCATTGCTGCATGTGGCATCGGCACAGTAACCTGTTTTAGTCAAGATGCCTCTCTTCTTGTAGACGAATCTATCACGCACACAGCTTTGTCAGGCCTCCACCCAAGTGCTAAAATAAAGGTCCCTTCTTTAGTATCTTGAAAAACCAAAAGAGTACAATTAGAGGGTAGAAATCTGTGATTCAGTTTTTTAAAGAAAACACATTTTTAAAGTTTCATACTGTTTTTTGCTTTTTTTTTTTTTTTTTTTAAGAGGAAGGAAATTAAGACCCCCCTGGAGCCACATCTATACAGGAAATCAATCTTATAATTTTCAAAAAGTGTTTTATAAAGATTTTTTATTAAAATGTTTTTGGTTAGACTCTAGTATAATCTGAAAAAAAAAGTATAAGTAGGTACTTTTTAAGGGGTAGGTTTTTTTTTTTGGACCTTTCAGATTTCATCTGTGTCCTTAGTTTATTTAGGTTTTGTGTAGTTGAAAAATCAGCACAAAAATGCTATAAAAAAGACAGCAGCCCTTCCCCTTGCCCACCTAAGCCCACCTCCCCATCTCACAGTGTCATTTCATGCCAACTATTTTAACTGCTTCTTCTCGTGGCAGTTAAATACACATATAATTTATTTATATGTATACACATACATACACACAGTATACACATATGCTGTATAATACACATATACTGTTATTTCTTGCTGGATCCTTTGAGACCCTATCCAAATTACAGAAATTGGTGATTTAGCTCTCCTACCATCACTATTACCTCTCCTTTATAATCCCAATAATAATTACATCAAAAATTTAAAGTCAATAGTGTTTACATTATTACATCTGTTGTATTAACTATACCATTTGGGAGAAAGGAATTTTGTGGGCCTGCAGTTATATCATCAACTTTATCAGAAGTCCCTTTGGCTTTATTTATTTTTCTAACATCAGAGAAAAAGTAGCAGTGAAAAACTATGGAGGCAAATGATTTCTGTGCAAAAAAATGATTCATGTATTTTCCCTTATAATCCCTTATAAACGGATACGCTCCCCAGGCCTTTGTGTGGGAGAAAGGCTGTGGCTGATCGTCTCATGAAGGGTCTGAAGGTTGGAACTTAACGTATGAGACAGATCTTCCCGTTTCCCTCTTTGTTTAAAGAGCTTAAACTGTGGGGGTTTTTCAAGTCATACAAAGCTTACCTCCAGAGAGGACTTAGCCTGATGACAGAGTGTCTAAAAAGGGGGAAAACTAAATATTATATTCAATAAGCAAATGCTTAATGCTTATTTGATTATGCCTAGAGAGGTTCAGCAAAAAACCAGGGAGCCAGGGGGGCCCTCATTCAACAATATGAACACGAAAAGTGGAACCAACCAGACATTATGTGCTTTAGGATCTGATGCAAGAGAGTGGGGGCTGAACCCTGAAGGAGATCTGATGGGATCTGGGAGAGGAAGTTATCAGAAGGTACAAGGCAGGGATCAGGGTGACGGAGAGGGCAAGCAACTCATTTCTTAGGTGGAACCAAGGATAGAGGCAAACAGAGCGGGTGAATTGGAGGACACACTGAGGTATAAAAAGAGAACATTAGGGCCACAGGTCACACATCCCTGCTACTGAATTTTAGACACAATTCCTCTCTTCAGTACCTTGACCCCCTACAGTTAATTTTCAACACAGCAGCCGAGTGATCCTTTTTCTTCTTTTTAAATTAATTAATTAATTTATTTTGGCTGTGTTGGGTCTTCATTGCTGCACACGGGATTTCTCTAGTTGCAGCAAGTGTGGGCTTCTCATTGCAGTGGCTTCTCTTGTTGCAGGGCACAGGCTCTAGGCACGCGGGCTTCAGTAGTTGTGGCCACAGGCTTAGTTGCTCCGTGGCATGTGGGATCCTCCCGGACCAGGGCTCGAACCCGTGTCCCCTGCATTGGCAGGCGGACTCTTAACCACTGCGCCACGAGGGAAGTCCCCCGAGTGATCCTTTTGAGACCAAAGTCAGATCGTGTCACTTCTCTGCTTAAAACACTGCCGCAGTGCTCCAGCTCCCCCAGAGTGAAAGCCAAAGCCCCTCCCCTGGCCCACAAGGGCCACATAAGCTGGTACTGTCACCGCCCAGCTCCTTCCACTGTCCTCTCCCTGGCTCACTCCAGCCACACTGGGCCCTGCTCTACCCTGCACAGGCCTCCTGTCTCAGGGCCTTTCCTTCTGCCTGGAAGGATCTTCCTCCAGATATCGTATCACATGGCTATCTTCCTCACTCTCTAAGTCCATGCTCAGCTGTCACCTTCCCAATGAGCCCGGCCCTGACCATCTATGTAAAAAATTCCCCTTGTCCGCCCTCCTCTCCTGGTACTCTCCACTCTCTATGCCATGCTCTATTTTCTTCTCTTGCCTCCAGCACTTAACCCTCTACAACACCTGTAATTTACATATGACTGTATTGTTTACGCTCTCCCTCTACTGGAATTTAAGCTCTACTAGGCCAGGGATCTTTGCTTCTTTTGCTCACTGATGAATCTCCACTGCCTGGAACAGTGCCAAGGACATAGTAGCCACTCAATAGTATTTGTTGGGTCATATGGCATATACCCTGAGAAAACCGTAATTCAAAAAGAGTCATGTACCACAATGTTCACTGCAGCTCTATTTACAATAGCCAGGACATGGAAGCAAACTAAGTGTCCATCGACAGATGAATGGATAAAGAAGATGTGGCACATATATACAATGGAATATTACTCAGCCATACAAAGAAACGAAATTGAGTTATTTGTAGTGAGGTGGATGGACCTAGAGTCTGTCATACAGAGTGAAGTAAGTCAGAAAGAGAAAAACAAATACCATATGCTAACACATACACATGGAATCTAAAAAAAAAAAAAAGGTTCTGAAGAACCTAGGGGCAGGACAGGAATAAAGACACAGATGTAGAGAATGGACTTGAGGACACAGGGAGGGGGAAGGGTAAACTGGGATGAAGTGAGAGAGTGGCATGGATATATATACACTACCAAATGTAAAACAGATAGCTAGTGGGAAGCAGCTGCATAGCACAGGGAGATCAGCTTGGTGCTTTGTGACCACCTAGATGGGTGGGATAGGGAGAGTGGGAGGGAGACGCAAGAGGGAGGGGATATGGGGATATAGTATATGTATAGCTGATTCACTTTGTTACACAGCAGAAACTAACACACCGTTGTAAAGCAATTATACTCCAATAAAGATGTTTAAAAAAAAATAGTATTTGTTGGGTGACTGAATGTTTTCAACTTCATCTTGCAAGCCTGATATTGAACCTTTCATTTTTGCTGTCACGTTTTCCACTTTCAAGAACTCATCCTCGTTCTCCAAATATCCCTTTTAAAAGCATGTTGGGCTTCCCTGGTGGCGCGGTGGTTGAGAGTCCGCCTGCCGATGCAGGGGACACAGGTTCGTGCCCCGGTCTGGGAGGATCCCACATGCCATGAAGCAGCTGGGCCCGTGAGCCATGGACGCTGAACCTGCGCGTCCGGAGCCTGTGCTCCGCAACGGGAGAGGCCACAGCAGTGAGAGGCCCGCGTACCGCAAAAAAAAAAAAAAAAAAAAGCATGTTGCTCTTGTTTTACAAAAGCATCCTTCCTCTCAAGCAGATGAATTCTGGTTTTAGTTTTTACGCTGCTCCCTACATTGCAT